ATTACTATTAAAATTGTTGTTTTGTCTTCAGTTTTCTCATAACTTTCTGTGAGATCTCTTYTGCGGTCCAAAAGAATTTTAAATATTTTTATTGACTTATCGAAGTAGTCACAGGGTAATCTAATACTCGAGTTGTTCCAAACAATTTATTTTATTTATTTTTTTTTTTCATTACTTTAAGAGGTGTACCCAGAAACAACAAACTTTGCTCCATTCTCCAATAATCGTATACATATTTTCTTGCACCAAGATTTATCATATAATAAATAATCAATAATCCTGCCTTGCGTGTTTTGTCTACCAGTAGCAAAGTCAATACAATTTTTTAGAGTTTTTCGATGCCAAAAAACAGAAATGATTTTTATTTTTTTTTTTTAAGTCAAAATACTCAATGTATGATCAGTATATCGTAAATATAGTTATTATCCGATATTCGAATATATATTATATACGATATTTCACAATCTGAGGAACATTGGGTGTCTTATTGTTTGCTWTGAAGCAGTAGTAAGCTTTTCTGTCTCTTTATGTACAATTGGRTGAGACAAAAAAGAAATCCTTCGACACGAAATATAGAGCAGTAAACTTCCAACAAGACTATGAGCTGTGTAATTTAAAATGTAATTTTATTCTCACTGAGTTATAAGATTTAAAGAAAAAAAAATTTCCTTGAAATAATCAAGATTTTATTATTAATAGCTTTCAAACGGGTATAATAACGAAAACATTATGATACTATGACTATGACTATGAAAGCAGATATTGTTATAAGTAGTTGAAATATGAATTTTTCTATCTGATAATATGAGAAAAAATATAGAAAACTGTAAGGCAGAGGACCTTGCCGTTACTATTAAGAGCTCATATTCCAAGAGAATTTCTTAAATATATCTCTAAATCAATTTTGCAGAGTTCTATGCGAAAAAAACATTCTTATTTTAACTTACCCTAATGTACATGTATATACTATGTACATATATAGCTTAAAGCATACTTAAGCATATATGGCAAGAAGAAAGTCTTCTAATTCTTCTCATGTCTGCTTAAATATGCTTTAAGCAAAACTCCTTCTCAAAATAAACCCTCACTAAAATAATTCGCCACAGCTACGCCTTTTTTCCATACCTTAATTTAACTGAAATCGCTTAAACTGTATAATTTTTGCTTAAGCCACTCTTTGTATAATGTATTATATGTGCAGTACTAATATTATAATGAAATTTGATATGCATAGTTAATTCAGTGCGTGCGTTAAGAAATTTATGACAAACAAAAAAATACATTATGACAACATAATCAAACTTTCCATCCAACAGCATGAAAAAGGGCAACAAGAATTAAAAATATGAGTAAGCGCAAATTAATGCTCGTACGTGAGTGCAAACAAGTGTACTTTTATTTTAACTTCACATAGGAAGAATGAATACATGAAAGAATAAATTTTCCAAAAATACCAAAAAAATTTAGAAACTTCAAAATATGCCCAAAAAAAAAACGATATTTTTTTTTTGTATAATTTTTATGCAGAAGTACCTACATGTACATATGTACCTTATACTGTACGCTTTCTGAAATATGGTTGCAACAGTAGTGCGTATATCTATACATCTACATTGGCGCTAGTAAACACAACTGCATTTTTTTGTGTTTTTTTCCTTGTGCTTCTACATTATTTTTGGTTTGAACGTGCCATTTTATTAATAGGGTCAAGACTACAGACGCCTGCTTTAATGCGGCTATAAAAATTGGTAAACTGGCATCGAAATATTGCGTATGATTGCAAATGTGATTATAACCACATGTATTTCTATGTGGCATTTTAGCAAGTATATATGAACCAAAAAATAGCGACGAAGCTTCGCTGCTTGTTATTTAACTTACACTTACTTTTACTTAATTATATCTGCATTTATTAATACATTTACAAATACATATTTGTCATATGTATGTATATGTATTGCATCTTTTAATCCTTTAGTATTATTTTAGGCACACATGGCGTATGAGTAACAGAAGTGCACTTACTCGATGCTCAGAAAATACAAATGCCGGAAATCAAAAACAAATCTAAAATGTATAAAGAAATAATATAAAAAGAAATGTATAATTTTTTTTTATTTTATTATTATTTTTACTTGTGTTTTTATTTTGCAATACAGAACTAAAATCGGTTATACGAAACGCTTCCTAAATAAATTATATGCTTGTGTTTTTTCTAGTATTATATAAGCTAAATAGCTGAACATTAAAAAAAACATATAACAGAATAATTTTAAAGCTTTGTAATCTTAGCCATTGCATTGCTTATTTGACGCACAGTGTCAGCTCGCAGTGGAGAGCTCTTCTAATACTCTTCTGTCAGACGTGTTATCAATTATTTTCTTAAACAAAAACTACAGTCTTATAAGTTTAAGTTCCCGTGCTGATGCCCACCACGAATATMACTGGGATTCCACTTCGACAGCAGAAAAAAAAATTTTTTGTGAGCATGGCAGGTATGAATATTGAGCTGACTAATATCCACCAGGTGGAGAATGACCTGGCTACACTTGGAATCGTTAAYCTTGGCGCCAAACAGCGAAAAGGAAAATCGACTAGCGCGCTTAAGCAGTGTCTACGCCAATAAATAAAAGGGAGAATAACGATTTTAATATCACATTCCCTCAGTAMACCGAAGCTATGACAGCAAAGAGCTCTCAATCTCTGTCTAATGAAAACTGCTTCATCGAATAGAA